AAACATTCACTACACCATTTTCCCCCACTTTTAGAAAATTAAAATTTTGGGGCCTTACACCCCCAAAACCCCCCCGCCGAAGGGGGGGGCTGGGGAATTCTGGGAGTTGAAGTCCACACATCTTAAATTTGCCAAGGTTGAGGAACACTGGTTCAGTGACTGTTTTTCCTGTGTTATACTAACAACCCAGAAGGATAAGGGCAAAGATGTTCCATCAGTAAATATAATAACAGTACAAAATCTCTTTACCAGAATGGAAGGCCCATCTTTTGTTCCTTATTTTTTATTCCCTGTAAATTAATACACTGGCCAAAAGTTCTTTTCTCTGGGTGATTCTGTACAGTGTATCAATGGCTGACGGGTCGCTGTCGTGTGGGTTCAGCATATGGGTTTAGCCTGTAAGTCTGATAGAAGACACAATTACATTGGATGCCATTAATTTCATTCATTAATAATGTGAGGAAGGTCCCTCTTAACCCCCATAAGAATGTGTGGTGTGACCCCAGTTAGCTGTTCTTTAGCACCTACGTGCACACATTTTTCTTTCAGAACTTTTGCACAAGAGACGGACATCCAATGAGGATTTTCTGGAGACCCAAAGCACTCGCTGTTTGCACGTTTTGTACTCTCGGCACCTTTCCAGAGGAAAAAAAAACATTGTCGCTGCTTAATCAACTCAATTTTCACAACAGGTGAACCCAGCCACAATGGACTACATTACAGTTTAGGTCTGTTATCAAATTACAGTTTTGTTATCAAATTACGGTTTTAAATGAGGGGCATCTGTAGGAGGGAGTCAAAAAAGTCAACGTGATGATCACAATCATGGCTGCCATCTTGACTTTTTTGACTCCATGGACATTCCTGGGTAGAAGGCCGGGAATTATTAAAATGTGACTGGAGAGTAAACATTACCCACTCTGCATTTGTTTCTATTTTATTTTTTACAAATGCTCTTACGGCTCCAAGCAGCAACATAGAAATATGCAATACTACACTCATCAATAAAAAATTAGCAAACATATCACACCATAAAAATGCAATGACAGTCATAACGTTATAAACATAAAACCACAGCACCATACACTATAAGACACCAAGAAAATTGTCATATACTCAGATATCTCTGTCTGTTTCCACTTGGGTCTCCAAATGCATGTTTAAAAACACATTTTAGAAAGATTCCTAAATATTAAAAATGAGGATGCAGATCTTACATCTGGGAGGAGGGTAAGCCACAATTTGAGTGTAAGTGAAATGACATTAAATTTAATGTTCTCTTGGCCTCGTTTTTTTGGAGCCTGTCCCCTGGTGTGACAAAGGCTACGCATTGTCCTTGATCTCAAAAAAGTTGTGGATTCCAGCTTGGCGCCATTCTTTCCATTTTTTCCTTGTTTCCCACTTTTCGTTTTTTAACATTATTATTCATCAAATATTACCAAAATAGCAACTGTTATTATTATACAACAGTGATAATACAATCCGTTTTTTAATACACAAGAGTGATTAAAATGAAGAAGAAAGATTCACATAATATTAAGATAGAATGGATTCCATCCTTTACCATATTACTAAATCTAGTCCATATAGAAACATAGTCCAATCTTTGCATTTTTACAATATAAAGACACTTCAAAAATCAATAAAGAACGCTTCTCTTGAATCCACTCCTACATCTGGGGTGTCACTTTCTTTCCAATTATTTCTGTAGAATAATTCTCTTTGCAAATTTTCTCAACCTTTGACTAAGAGTTCCATTGGTAGAAGGGTGGTAAATGTGATGGATGGATGGATGGATGGATGGATGGATGGATGGATGGATGGATGATAGACAGACAGACAGACAGATATGGAAGGGGAGAGAGAGAAGTAGGTAGACATAAAGAAGCCATAGACAAGTAGAGATGGATGGATGGCTGGTTGGCTGGATGATAGACAGACAGACAGACAGACAGAAAGACAGATATGGAAGGGGAGAGAGAGAAGTAGGTAGACATAGACAAACCATAGACAGTAGAGATGGGTGGGTGGATGGATGGATAGAGATCAACCACAGTCCTCCAGTCTGCCTTAACTTTGGGGAGGGGATCCTTGAAGCCTTGGTCACTGCCACTTGCTGGTTGACCTCGATTCGGTACGGTGCTCAGGGCTGGACTTTGGACGCCACCTCCCAAGTTTTGTTCAGGAGAACAAACTCAACCACCACCACCAGATTCAGACGATCATCTGAAGAGGCAAGAGCATTAATTCTACAGCTCAGCTTCCCAAGTTGGCTGGCATGTGATGAGAGGATGGTGCAAAACGTCTGTACGGCTCCGACGCAAGGGAAGGCGGTGCAGAGTCTGAAGTCACCAAATGGAATCACTGTTGCTCCTTCTCTTATTAATCCCCCCCCCCGCCCGAGGAATTCCTATTCCAAGTTCCAGATGATTTACTGGGTAGTCCTCCGAGGGCGTATGCCGAAAAAGCACACCCACATCGCACCAATTCATTGGTGCATCATCCTACAACTTATTTTCAATACTAAAAAGCAAAGCGTCCTCTCCTTCAAGTTGGCTCAGCTCCTGGTGGGTTCAGGGACACGGTCATGTCATTTTCTTGGCAGCGTTACAGAAGCCGTCCTTCGTTTTCTTCTTCTGAGCTGTTTCCGGACTTCCTAGTCTATCCTACAATGGTGGGGTTTCCTTGTGGTCTCCCATCTCCCATCCAAGTTCAAACCAGGTCTGACCCTGCTTTGTTTTTTCAAGATTAGCCAAGATGGGCTAATCCCTGGGCCATATTTTGCTTCTTCCACATGTTTTGCTACTTAAAGATAGAACCTTCTTCTAATCAACCTTAACTTGGTGACTTCAGGACAGGTCTGTGTTCTGTTCTTGGTCATCACGGTTTGCCAGGGCCTTCCTTCGGGGCGTTGTTCACCTTCCCAGTGCAGCCTAAGGTCCCTTGGTACTTTACAGTAAAGTTCAGAGGGCCTCTGAGCACACACCAAGTTTCCACGGCTACAGGGTCACACCAACAGAGATCTGGACAGCCACTCCCAAGAGTTTGCGGACTAGCTTGTGGCAGGATAGATCCCGAACTGCCTCTGCCCTCTTCTGCCCTCCGAGATGTCCTTGTGGCCAGTGACTCAGTTGGCAAATGTCAGCTTCCTCGCCCATTTCTGTTTGCCTTGGATTCACCCACCACTTGGGTAGGGCTCTGAAAAGCCAGCAGAATACAGTATTCCGAACTCTTGGGTGGGGTGGAGCACGGCAAACAGCAGTGTTTGGACAAGGCCTGTCCCTTTTAACCCCGGATGGATTGCAGCCTGCTGCTGCTGACTGTGCTACGAAGACCAAGACGAAGGAAAAAAAGGAAAGGTTACAGAGCACTGCCTTTGCGTAGTTGCACCTTGTCCTCGGGCTCTGCCCCAAATCCAGCCCTCCTGACGTCCTGGGGGAGGGCGCAGGTTGAGGATGGCCCGTGGGAAGGTTAGGAGGGTTGCGCGTTCAGTGGGAACGGCAAGACCGGAACAGAACAGTTGGGGAACATGGGCCATGAGGTGTGTCCTTGAGCAGTCGGGTGAGTTTGGAGCCGGGGGGCCTAGAGAGGAGTGCTTTCAGGGGTGTGGTCAAAAGAGTCAAGATGGCGCCACAGCAGGGCAACTGGAGCTCCACCTGTTATGACCACACCCTGCAGACACCCCTGAACGGTGCATCAATTTATTGCATTTATTTTATTATACTGCACCGACACTTAGCAGGTGGCAGGAAAGGCAGCGGGAATCTGAGCGAGGTTTGGATGCTGCCTAGCCCAAGTCAGCATGAAAAACAGAGAGGAAGCTCTTAGTCACAGCCCAGCATGTGAGAAAACGATTAGGGTTTCTCACGCAGCTTCTCCAGTGACTAAGACTGGTTTAGCTCCAGTAAAAGGATGCAGCTGTCCAGTCTGATGATTAGCCTGATCAAGATCCTATCCTGTATCTCAATTGCTTCCCCTGTGTGACCTTCTTTTAAAAAACACAAACAGATCGCATCAGGGCCTCTGAGCATGTACAGAGAGCCATCCCCATCCCCTGTCGGTTTGGGTAATAATTAACGGTATTCAGGGCCCGGCTTTTCAACCATAGAGTCTGTTTTTCTTTCTCATTTCAAATGCTTAAATACTTGATGTACAGGTGATGCCTTGATCGTTCATATATTTGCCCTTTTTTCTGTTTCAGTTGTCATTGTTATGAATTATACTGCTTTTTTAAAAAAACATGTTTATCCTTTTTGTACTTTTTTGTAGTTAGTTGGGGGAGTTGTAATCTTGCACATTTTTTAAAAAAAATGTGTAACAAAATAAAAAAAAATTTTTTTTAATTCATGGCCAGACTTTACAACAATAGGTTTTTTTTCCTAATTTGAAATGGTCATATACTGCTAAATATGCAGCCTTGATTATTCATAATTTATTTCCTTTTTTATGCATGTTAGTTTTTGTTACGAATTATGCTCTTTTTTCCTTTGGTTTATGGCTTTTGCGATCTTTTGTAGTTAGTTGGGAGGAATTGTATTCTCGGGTTATTTATTTATTTGGTAATAAAACAAATAGCTTTTAAAAACTGAGGGCCAGACTTTGCTTCTAAGGCAAGTCACTGGATGTTCTGACATTTTCAAGCTGGGCTCACAGAACAGGTTAAACTCTAAATGATCAATAAAAGGTCTTCATGTTCCTATAACATGAAAGGCCCAAACAAATAAACCACATGTATTATGTTCAACATGAAATGGCCAGATTGGGGACAGATCATCCTGGAGAAGATCCATCTTTGATGAAGCAGGACAGAAAGAGTGTTGATACATTTTGACTTTGGGGTTGGAGAAGACTTCTGAGAATACATGGACAGCCAAGAAAATGTTCAAATGGGTCATCAAATGAATCAATCCAGAGTTCTCACTCAAGGCACCAATGACCAGGGTCAAATTGTCCTACTTTGGACACATGATGCGAAGACCCAGCTCTCTGGAGAAGCCTCTAATGCTGGGAAAGGTGGAAGGAAAGAGAAGAAGAGGAGGACCAGCAGGAAGGGAGATGGAGTCAGTTACAGGGGTGACAGATACACTGATAGAAGCCCTGGAAGACCAGGTTAGGGGCAGATCATCATGGAGAAGATTCACTGTATTGCTAAGAGTCGACACTGATTGCTTGATGGCACTCATCAATCGTGCAAATAGCAGTTGGCTTCATTCTGAAGCACAAACTGACCCCTTTGCATTTCAGCCTCCTCTAGCATAACGTTCAAAGCTAGCTCTCATGGTTTTTTAAAATGCAGCTAAATGTGGTTTCACCATTCCTTGAAATCCTTTTGAGCAGGCAGCCCCAAACTGGGTTAAAGAAGGGGAATCAAAACAATGCTGTTCCATGTTCTTGCTCTAAAAGAAGAAGGGCCATTAATGTCCCCATGATTCGCAGATCAAGGTATAAAACCTAAACCAGTGTTTCTCAAACTTGACAACTTTAAGATGCTGGCTGGGGAATTCTAGGAGTTGAAGTCCACACATCTTAAAGTTGCCAAGTTTGAAAAACATTGACCTAAACATTAAAAAGCACCCCGGCCAGATTAAATTTTAAAATCCACCATCCTAATTTCTTACAGTGTTGAGCTGGACCATCCCTCCCCTGTTCTTTGATCTGGGTTACCTGGCATTCAGAGGTAACCAATAGCAAAGTCTATCTCAAGGTGAACCTTTGGGGGATCTTCTGGACCCAGCTGGGTTGTTTTCTTGGCAACAATATAAAAATGGTTTACCACCTTCTGGGATGAATGGATGGATGGATAGATAGATAGATAGATAGATAGATAGATAGATAGATAGATAGATAGATTTAAACTTCTCTGTCTATCTGGTAGCCCTTTAGTCTCCCATCCAAAGACCAACCCAGGTTAGCTAGTCATTGCCCCCTGCTAAACCTCATTGCTCTGGCAGCCAATCACTTCACCCAAAAGAAGTGGATCATCTCTATACATTCTTTAACACTCTGTTAGCTCACGTATCCGCTGAAAAGCCTCTGCTTTTGCTCCAGCCTGGTTGTGACGTAGGAGAGGTGAAGGCTGTGGCTAAATTTATCTCTTTTGCTGTACGGGTTTGTACTCTGGTGCCAGCAAAGATGCAGTTAAAGAAGAGTTAGGACAAGCGAAGAATAGATCCGGTGGGATAACTCACATTACTGAATCACCTGCTCGTCACAAAAGCTGCATGTTCACGGTGTGTTTTGTTGGCATTTGGGGCTTTTAAAAACAGGCAGAAACACACTGGGGTGCCGGGGGTGGGGTGGGGCTTCTCCATAAGCATTCCCTAAGGAAAGGGTGGGCAATCTGAAACCCCATCTCTTTTTTCTGCAACTCCTCCAAACACCCCTGATTAAAATCACCAGCTCAGCTTCATACCATGGGAAGACCAAGTTGTGGTGTGAAATCTAAAATAGCTGTTTTGAAAAAGAAAAACAAAAATCTCCCCCTGCCCCCCACCCCCAGACAAGCAATCCTGGTCTCACCCACGCACGTGACATGGCCCTGCCCACGTCGCATCCTCAGCTGTCTGCCGTGGCCCTTCCAAGAAAAGGAGATTTGTTCCCGCAGAAGCCGGTAATTCGGAGATACAGATCTGTGGGCGTGGGTAGGAAATAGACTTGCCTCTCTGCTTCTGTTCTAAACGAGTAGGCGGCAGCACAAATTTGGCCTTGAGTGATCTCCAAAAATTAAGCAGAGTTAGATCTGGTTGCCCTTGGATGAGACACCACTAAGAAATCCCAGGGGTAAATTCCAGAGGAACGTAAGAGAAACCACATGTGTATCATTAGCAAAAAAACTATACAGAGATTGCCGTGAGTTCATCAGGAGTTGAGTTTGACCCAAGGGCATTAATACCTGTCTCCAATTTGTATTTTTAAAGACTGGAGCCTAGATGCCTTTCTGCTGCACTTTTTTTTCATTGGTCATGGGCGTTTTCGACTCCTAGCGACCACACAGATGCATTTGCTCTACGATAATCTGTCCCCAAACTGGTCCTTCAGCTCTTCAAATTGTGCCTCCATCACTCCTGCTGTTGGTCAACCTTGCTGCTGGTCGTCCTCTTCTTCTCTTTCCTTCCACCTTTCCCAGCATTATGGACTTCTTCACGGAGCTGGGTCTTCATGTTGATTGATTACGTGCCATCACAACAGTGTTGACTATTAGCAACCACATAGGTTGATTTTCTGCAGGGTGATCTGTCTCCAGTGTGGTCCTTCAGGTCTTCCAACGGTGCACCCATCACCCCTGTAACTGAGTCCATCCCCCTTGCTGCTGGTCGTCCTTCTTCTTCTCTTTCCTCCACCTTTCCCAGCATTAGATCCTTCTCCAGAGAACTAGGTTTTTGCATCATGTGTCCAAAGTAGGAAAATTTGAGCCTGGTCATTTGTGCCTCAAGTGAGAGCTCTGGGTTGATTTGTTCACTAACCCATGTTAATAAGGATCATTTATTTTGCAGCAACGTACCCTGAACTTAAATAGGGAAAAAGTAGTGTTTTCGTTTTCCTGGTTATAAGTATGTGTGTATTAAAATGGATCTCCGGGCGGTTTCAGTAAAAAGATATTTCACGATAGCAGAAATATTAAAACAATTGAAATCAGCAGTTGAAGCCAATAATCCAAAGCCGCTTTTAAAAGATGGGTTTTCGGGGCCTTTTAAATGAGGTTGAGGCCTGCAACTCAGCTGGGGGCCTTGCAAAAAATGGGAGAGGGGTATAAAGAACCCCAAAGCTGCTGCGAGCCACTTTTTGTGAGATGGGGGACCCTATAAATTTGACAAATAAATAAAAATAAAATAAATAAAGCTTCCCCCATAACTGTAGGCCTTTGGGGAACATCTCCATAGCAGAGCTGGGTGGGGAGAAGGCGATCACATAGAACAGTGTTTCTCAACCTCGGCAACTTTAAGTTGTGTGGACTTCAACTCCTGGCTTGGGAATTCTGGGAGTTGAAGTCCACACAACTTAAAGTTGCCGAGGTTGAGAAACACTGATATAGAAAGAGGCTTTTCTGGAAGTAATCCGGATCTTAAAGTCACCTTTCTGCATTTTACCTGGTAATAAACTAGCAGTCAGGACAATAGTTTAGCTTTAGATCCTTCCCTAAACCCACCTGGCTGCTGAGTGCTGTACTGATCCAAGTTTCCAGAGCAGACCCCAAAACACCATTCAGACAACATACTATATCTGAGTTATCAAAACAATGTTATGTTCACATAGAACCCCATTCCTGGCAGAGTGGTTAAGATGTTCCAGTCAGCCCTTCCTTGGTCACAGAAGCTCATTGGCTGACGTTGGGTCGGTCCCACCCTCTCAGCCCAAGAGCCAATCGGGTGTAGTGGGGAAGGGGCTGGACTAGGAGGGGGGAGACCTGGGTTCTAGTCCCCCTCAGCCATGGAATCTCATTGGCTGACTTTGGGCCAGTCCCGCCCTCTCAGCCCAAGAGCCAATCAGGTGTAGTGGGGAAGATGCAGGAATTGGAAGGGGGGAGACCAGGGTTCTAGTCCCCCTCAGCCACTCAGAAGCTC